GAAAGAGCAAATGTTCATTGATTGGAGGAATATCCATAGGGCAGAGGAAATTTTTATTATTTTATGTATATGAGTGTATTGCCTGCATGCATATGAATGCACCTGTGTTGTGCAATGCCTGCAACGTCAGAAGGTGTTGGATCACCTAGAACTGGAGTTAAGAACAGCTGTTTAGCTGCCATGTAGGTGCTGGGAACTGAACCCAAGTCCTCTGCAAGAGCAGCCAGTGCTCTTAACTGCTGAGCCATCTCTCCAGCCCCGAAATTTTAACCATAGAAACTAATTCTACTATAGGGCCTTACCTTATCTCTGTGGCTAGCCACAGAAACTTGAAATAATATTAAAGAGAAATTTATTTTTCTTCATTGCAGAAGTCCAGAGTTCAGAAGTCAGAATGTCAAAGTATACAGTAAGTAACTCCCATGATTTCTGGGGACCCAGGTGTTTCTCATCCTTCTCATGGTTTTTATTCTCCCATCTTTATTCCATGACTACTGTCCTTGAAGGTTACTTTATGGTCTAAGATAGTCAGAGGTCCAGTCAACTGACTTACATGATCATCCTGCATTAGTTAGCCTTCTGTTACTGTAACAAAATATTTGAGGTAATTAGTATAAAAAAGAGGGAGTTTTGTTTTAGTTCATAAGTTTGGAGATTTCAGTCCTTGGTTGGTTAGCCCCACTGCTTTTTGGGGCTGTGGTGATACAGTACATTATAGTGGAAGGAAGCCCACTTGTTTCATGGTGAGAAATGAAAAAGAAGGTAAGAGACTGGGTCCCACAATCCTTTTCAAACACATACCTCTGATAATCTAAAAACCTCTTACCTACTCTGCCTCACCTCTTAAAACTTCTGTCACCTTTGAAAAGTGCACAAGCACGGGACCAAGCTTTTAACAGACCCAGGCTTATGGGAAATATACAAGATCCAAACTGTGTAAGACTCCTTTCAGAAGACAGTCTGGGAAAGGCCCCTTCCCTTCCCCCCTTTCCTTCCTTCCCTTTCCCTCTTTCTCTTTCCTTCTCCTTCCCTCTTGCTGAGATAGTCTTGCTCTATAACAACACGCTAGCTTGGCACCATCAATTCTCTTGCCTAAGCCTCCTCAATGCTAGTGTTACAGGTTTGGTACATTGTCACCACACTTGGCTTGGGTACATTGTCATGCTAAGTAAAAGCAGAGTTTGATGTAATAAGGAGAGGAAGTGGTAAAACAAGATTAATAAAGACAATGTAATGAATTTTTCTATTCAATTTAGAAGGTTCTGAAGACTTTCTTCCCCACATCTTAAATGTTTCTTAAAAAAATAAAACTATAATGATGTCTTTTTCCCCTAAAAATCTTCACTTGACCAACTACAAAGCAGTTCACTCCATCAATATCCTACTATTTCTCTGGCCTGACAAACTGAAAATCTAAGCAATCTTAGTTTTTTTGAAAAGAGGGAAAGCCACTCTTCCCTTCCTTCTCTCCTCCGAAGCAGTTCATATAAAAGACATCCTTAACTTTCCCTGAGGCAGGTTCTGAGACCCTCAAGTGGTGGCCCTTGAGGTGGGGCAAAGGAGCTTTGAAGACACAGGGTCACAGAGGCCTTGAACAAACAAGCCTTGCTAAGTACCCCCTAGTTCATGACTATTAGATGGTATTCTCTGTCCAATTATCTCTCTCCATGACTGGCCACTCTTCATCAAAATTAGTATACACAGGCTTAATTGCTTCATTGGGACTTCTTCATGTGTCATGTGAAAATAAAACGTTTATGCTGTTCTCTTGGTAATCTGTCTTTTGTTATAGGGGCCTCAGCCATGAACCAAGGAAGGGTGAGGAAAATATTTTTTTCTTCTCCCTGTAGTAGGCTTTCACTAGGAATCCATTAAGTTATGAGGCAGGCTCAGCCAGACTTCTAACACCCAGGAGCATACAAAGAGCTGTCTATCTCCAGGTCATTTGTCACTGGAATCAGCTAGGAAAGGAGTGATGGTTACAAGGACATGGAAATCTTGGGGGACAACCAAGAAAACAACAGATACTTGGTTTGCCTTAAAATAGGTCTTAAAATTACAAAATTGGGAATATAAGCTACCTAGTCTCTCATGCAGTAACAACCTTGCAATTTCCTGTCTTTTCCTGTAACCAACTATCTTTGCTACTTATATTTTTTTCTCCCTACTCCCTAACTTCGGTTTCCATGGGGACTCTGCCTCTGTTGGACTAGCGATGATTCAGATTTTCAGTGGTGCAATTCTAAATTCTCCAGGAATGGTTTCACTGGGTCAGCTAGGGTCAGGGTTATTGATTCAATTAGCTGTGGCAAGTAGGAGGGGGACCAGTAGAGATTCAACTCTATTTACAATGGTATTCTAGTATGACAAACCCATGTAAATGAACAAGATCATACACCAAAATTGCATGTAATACACCTAACCTACCAAGCTTCACTGCTCAGCAACACAGTACCTTACAGAACATTAGTTGTTTCCCATTGTGATTGCATGGTTTCTAGAAACTGTTGTAGCTGTTTTCCAGCATCATGTGAGAGGATTGCTGAATATCACTAGCCTGGAAAAGATCAAAATTCAAAGTGTGCTCCACTTGTGGCTCTCACCTTCAAATTATATTAGCTACTGAACATGCATTGCTTCCGCACCATTTCAAAGTTGAAAACTGTAAATCAAACCATAATAATTGAAGACTGTGAACAAATAATGTTCTAAATAGTCTTTCAATAGAATCTAGGGAGTGAACATGTGGGGTGTATGTGTAAAGGAAGGGGCAGGTACTATGCATTACTTAAAATATACTTCCCCTTTTCTATGAATTTTTACATCCTGTAGGTCTCTCTTCCTTAACATCAAGTGATTCTTTCCCCTCTGGGTGGCTAATAAAAGACTAATAAAAGGCTAATAAATGCTTTTCTTACACAAGCATTATTTTGATAATTTTCTTCTCTAACTCACTGTACTTTCCTCAGTCAGAATGCTTTAATGGAAAGATTGCATGGTGATTGCAGCGCACAAGCCTCTGGGATCATGAGGTCCTGTCTCCTATTTTCTCCTTACCTAGCTTGGGGGATGAGCAGGGACAAAGTAAGCAGCAAGAAGACAAGTACCAAAGTCAATCTACCTGGTTTTGAAACTCGGTTTCAACACCTACTAGAAAAGACAGCTCTGTGCATCTGGTTCTGTACCTGTAAAACGGAAGTATTAACTACTACCTAAGATCATTGTGAGGACTAAAGGAATTAATGCAAGCCAAGCAATTTACCAAGTGCTTAATAAAAACACATTAAATATTAATGTTTGAGGCACAAAAGTCAAAATACAAAATCTATGAACAAGATAGTGTTTCAAGGTTATGGTACCAAATAAGCAGAGTCAGGTGGGTGTCTTCACTCAGGGTGTAAACAGTCCTACTACAACCCTGTTCACAATGTGGAATTCAAGACAGGTGATTCATTTATTAAAATGTAAAGAAATATTTGATCAAGTCAGCAACTTTGCAACCTTCAGCTGATTTTTCTCTCTCTAGAATTCAAAAGATATGATAAATTTCATCTAAATATTCCATTTTCATTTTGGCCACAATATTTGTGACTCCTTTTTAGAGGTACCCATACTCAATTTTTTGCCCCAATTTGTATTGAAGAATTTCTCAGAAAACTTGGACATTTTACAAAATGGCTGTCTCATTACTGCTTAAAATATTAGTGAGGACAGCTCTATACATATGGATACTACATAAATTTAAATCTGCATCTTTATACTGTATATGCTTCCCATTTAGGTATAAATATGGTATCTTTTTTAAAATTACTATTTTATGTGTATGCATGTATTGCCAGCATGTAGGTAAGTGCACCTGTGTCGTGCAATGCCGGCAGAGGTCAGAAGAGGCTGTCCAAGTCCAGGGACTGGAGTTACCTGTCATGTGGGCGCTGGGATTTGAACCCGGGTCTTCTGCAAGAACAAACAGTGTTCTTAATCACTGAGCCACCTCTCCAGCCCCAAATATGGTGTCATTTTATATGCTGTAGACACATAACCCAGTAACTCTTTACTTACAGCTGAATTAAGCTGACACTAAATCAGTTATAACAAGGCCTCATTATAAGTGCATTTAACAAAGATTTTCTGTAATATATAAAAGGATCTAAGTACTGAAAGTCATTATCTCTTAAAAACAACAACAAAAAAACAACCCAACCCAAAATCAAACATGGTTTCACATCGTTTTTGCTGGCAATATGAGACTAAAACAAATTAACAGGTCTAAATCATAGATTTACAATTTGTTACCATTAAGCAAGACTTTCCAAGGTTAAGGTGATTGTCGTTCAAACACTTTGATTCTATAAAGCAAATTCTAATTTTGTCTCCAGTTTGGACCCGGTGCCCTTTGTCTCTCTTCAACTTTTAGAAACTTGCTACTACTACTCAACAGTCATTTTATCACTTAAAACCTTTATAACCTTGACAGCACTTGATTTCCGAACCGATCTGTTCTTTGGTAAGATGGCTGTTGCTTCCTAACAGCCGAGTTGAGTGTTCAAATAACTAAGATGATTTACTGCGTGCATGTACTACCATTTTACAATTTTTTAAAATAGGCACACGATTTATGATTTATGGTTCTGAGGCACTGATTTAAAAAAAAAAAACCGTAAAACTTTAAGACCAGATTCTTCAGACATTCCCTGCTCCCTAAAATTTAAACACGTATGAAAAATTTTCAGATGCTCCTTTGAACCGATTTGAAAGGAAACCAGACAACTACAAGGGCTTGACTTGGTGTCACCAAAGATAAAAAAGCCCTTTTGCTGTTGAGACCACAGGTAAGAAGTTATAGACTAGGCTGTACTAGCATGCTTTACCCATTTGACAAGACCTTTTTTCTCAAATAGAATGATTTCTACTCAACTTCCTGTACATCATGACAAGATGCTACAAAACCGATCACGGGCGGCGGACGGTCTCGCCTGCTTCCGCCTGCCCTGCCCCCACACGATGCAGATCCGGCGGGATTTTCCCGCGATGCCGCGGGGGCGGCTCACTGGATCCCAGAGTACACTGCGGGTACGTGCGCGCGCAGCTCTACTCTCCAGCGACCGCGGGAAAATTCCAAAAACGTCGAAACAAAAAAGCCAGCACGAGGCCACATAACGTTTTCAACCCGCAGAACCCCGGCAGTGGTTTCCTTTCCGCCGAGGCTCAAACTGCTGAAGCAGCTCTGGGCGAGGACCACCCAGGAAGGAGGCTGTGGAACGAAGCGACAGCGCCGCTTCCTTCAGAAGCTGGCGGACGCGTCGGGTGAGGGCTGGAAGACTCGCGAGAGCGTCCGCCGGGCCAGGCCCCACGCCTCGAGGTGGGCGAGCGAGGCTCCCGCGGAGTCGGCAGATGGAGGGAAGCGGCTCTAGGGTGGCGTGGGTCGTTGAAGGGCGGGGCTTGTAGAGGGCGTAACCAGCGAGGAGGGGCGTGGGAAGGAGGAGCCAGGTGGGTACCACCCCCGCGGGGGCGGGGCCCTAAGGTTCCTGTGAAGCCGTGGGTGGGGTTGGGGAAGGGTCACACGGAAAGGAAGCCCCAGAGCAGTGGGAGCTGGGAGTTGCCGTTCTGGGGTTTTTTGTTCGTTGGGTGCTGGCGGCCGGTTCTTCTTCAAGGGAGAGGAGCAAAGGTGAATCTCTTTGCTTCGGCTCCTTGGGACCTGTGAAAAGCTCTCCTGGTACCCCATCACCCATTACAACTGGCCTGGTCTCTGCCGGGAGCCCACGGCGCAGGCCCAATTAGAAGCCCCCGGGGCGCTGCTGCGGTCCCTCTAGGCCCTCGCCTTTCATCGCTGGACCCGAGGAGGGATCTGGTGGCGGATTGTCTTTCCCACTACGCTTTATTTGAATAGCAGACCAAATGGCATTCAAAGCCCTTGGGAGATTTTTTGTTTGTTTGTTTTTAGGGGGGGTGTATATGTTGTCTTTCTCATATTTTTTAAAGTTTTGGGTTTGGAGAGGGTGTTGCATTTTCTGAAATACAAGAAGTTGAGATTAGAATCTTAAGAGGCCCAAGAAAGACTTGTATGTGCTTGGACTTTTGTTCTAGTTCGAAATGATTTGTAAGATCACGGGTTCTTGATTTCATTGTAACCTGAGCTTCATTTCATGCATCTAAACCAGTATGATTGATTTCACCTACTTATGGATGTCCTTCACCTTTACTGATAGGCTCCTTAGAACCTTTTCTCTTTCCCTCCTGGAGGGAAGGTTGGTACAAACGATAGAATCCATACTGTGTGTTGAGGTCATTTGTTGCTTAAGCCTACATAGAGAAATCAGGCTTATTGTGACTATCCACTAAACTTAAGTTGATGTTAACGTGTAATATACTGATTTCCAGATTCACATGGAAATAAGCAGATATATAACATAAGAGTGAGTCCTTAATTTGTTTTCTTAAATCCAGAGTAAAAGTTACCATATAATATATATAATATTTTTGTATATTATAAAATTCTGTTTTTTTTTAATGTCATGTTCTCTGGGTTTCTTGAAAACATCTAAGGCCTCAGAAAAGGGCAACCTATTGGTATTTTTTGTTCTGTGTTTTATTGTTTGTGTGCATGTGTATATGTATGTGTGTAGAGAGGCCAGAGGTATTCCTCAGGAGTGGTCCACCTCTCTTTCGTACCCCCCCCCCCTTTCTCTTTTGACAAGGTCTCATTTGGCCTGGAGTTCACCAGATTGGGCAAACCCTAGGAATCTGCCTGTCGTCATCCTCCCCAGTGCTGGAGTTAAAAGTGTGGGACACTAAACTAGGTCTTTTGTTTGAGAATGTGTATTCTGGGCATTGAACTCCCCTTCTCATGCTTGTGTGTTAAACACATTACAAACTGCTCTATCTCCTCAGTCCCATTCTGTATTTTTGAGAAAAAGGCATTAACTTGATTGATTGGGTAGATGTGGCAGGTATGTCACTGCATGCATTTTAAACTGCACATTTTTAAATGAATGGGGTTTTAAACTACTTCCATATTTCAGGCAAACAATTCCAGTAAAAATTATACAAGTACTGTATTTATGAAACCAACTTTAGGGAGGCCAGCCTGGCTAGTAGAATGTTGGACTAACTAGGCCGCAGAGAGACCCAGAGGAATCTCACATGAGTGGTGGTTCCAAGACAGCAGTGCTATGTAGAGCTGCAGATCAGGCTAGAGATCAGACTGAAATGATTTATAAAATTTTTATTTTAGTTCAGGATATGCATATTCTCTGTTCTTATGGTTTCTGGTTAGCTAGCTAACTTTCAAATATGAAATAACTCCCTCTCATAGAGCGATACATAGAATTTTCAGTGATTTACTGAAAATCCTAATATTACTAGAAAAGAAAATATAATGATTCAGATAACAATGCAATGCTGAGTGTGTGTGTGTGTGTGTGTGTGTGTCTTTTAACTAAATATCAAATAGCATGCCACAGCTGGCCTGGAACTCAATATGTAGACCAGACTGGTCTCAATCTCACAGAGATCTGCTTGCCTCTGCCTCCTGAGTGCTGGGATTAAAGGCCAGTGCAATCACATGTGGCTGCAAATATTGTTTTGAAGTCTAAGAAATGATTTCTGTTGCTATACTAAAATGCCTGAGGTGAGTTACTTTAATGATTTATTTAGCTCATAATTCTAGCAAGTCAAGAGCTAGTGTAAATAGAATTGTTTTTAAAATTTGATTGTTCAGTTATTTGTGGCCAGTATATAAAAATATAATTTATTTTGTACGTCGACCTTGTATCTTGCAACCTTGCTGATGTTGATTACTTCCAGTGGGTTTTAGATTGTTTTATGAGTTCCATGGTATTTTCTCCATACAGCACCATATAATCCAAGGATATACCAGTTTACTTATCTTTTCCATCTGATGCCTTTCCTTTTTTTTTTTTTTTGGCTCTTTTTGAGACAGGGTCTCCCTGTAGCCCCAGTTGTCCTGGAACTCACTATGTAGACCAGGCTGGCGTTGAACTCACAGAGATCCACCTGCCTCCGCTTCCCGAGTGCTGGAATTAAAGGCTTGTGCCACCATGCCTGGCTTGATGCCTTTCTTTTTTTCTTTGCCTGATTACACTAGCTAGATAGAGTCCTCAGCACAGCGCTGGGCAGCAGTGAGAGAGAGAACATTGTGGCTACTTCTGGGGGCAGAGAGAAAGCATTGTCTTTGACCATAACATTGGTCATGTTAACTGGGAGTTTTTCCTGAAGTGCCATGTTGGGGTGAGGAGTTTTCCTGGTATTATTAGATTGTTGAAGATTCTTATGAAAAGATGTTGGAAGTGTTATCTTTGCTACAATGTGGTTTTATTTTCTGTTAATAAGCTTTATTTCATCTGTTGAGCTATTAATGCTATATTAACTGCAATTCGAGGGTAATCCCATGATCATGTTATGTAATCTTTTAAAATATATATATTACTGGATTTGGTTTAGAATTTTTGTGTGTTTGTTCATGAGCAATGTTGGTATACAGTAGTAACTCTTCACTTGATGGCTTTGGTTTTGGCATTAACTGTAATAATGACATCTTAGAATGATTTGAGACTTAGTCCTCTATTTTTTCCAAGTTTGTGAAGGATTTATATTATCCTTTAAAAATGTTTGATAGAATTCACAGAGTAAATCATCTCGGTATGGATTTTTGTTGATGGGGAACTTTCGAATTGTCTAACACTGGCAGCTCTGCGCATGCACATCTTCTGCAGCATCTGTGGTACCTCAGAGTATGTGGTCCCAGATGTGCTTCTATCATGTGCACGTGTGTGGATATGCAGCTTTTGTAGCTGCTAGGGAGCTTTTGCTGGGTTCTTGTGTACCTGCAGTGTAGCGCTGCTCCTGTGACATGTGAGTTCCTTAGCTTAGGTTTCTGGGGCGCTCTGTGGTCAGTGGCGCCTGGGCACCAGCACTTTACCTCATCCACACAGGCTTTAGCAACACCTCTCTGTGAAAGCTTTTAAGGGCACGGAAGTGATTGGGTTTCTGGCAGATTGTTACAAAGGGTGAAAATCATCTGTAAATTCTACCAATGTGCCCACAGTGTCATCTTCATCATACAGTGAGCAAGGTGGCTGTCCACACTCCAAAAGAGCCTTTCGTGTAGTCCAGGCTGACCTCAACGTCATTGTGTAACCGAGAATGACTATGACATTTATTCTTCTACCTCCACCTTCTAAGTGTTGGGATTATAGGTGTGCACTACCATAACCGGGTTTGCATGGTGGTGGGATTGAACCCGGGACGTTGTGAATGCTAGGCAAGCACTATGTTGACAGGAGCTACATCTCCAGCCCAAGGTTTGGAACTTTTGGTTAGAGATTCCTAGACTGGGACATCAGTTTTTCTAGTCTCTGATTTAAACTTTGGACTACATGACAGGAAATGCTATATGTGGTAATAACTGTCTTAATCTCAGGGACTTAAGTGTTGATTATCCAGAAGGTCACCTAGAATGTTAGATGTCTCTTTTGTGTAGTTTTTCTTTGTCCAGATTCTCTGATGGCTTCCATTTGTGGCTCCTCTCTCTCACCTCCAGTCACCTGTACTTCAGGAAGGGAGAAGATACTTGGTATGCTTCAAAGTGTGTGTGACTTGGGTTTCATTCCATTCACTAGAACTGAGTCATATGACAAGTTTATTAAGGAGCTGGGAATGTTGAGTTGTCTCCAGATGTGGGGAGCTGTTAATTCTTATACACTGCCTTATGAAGTTGCACATACTTCAGATGTAATAGTGAACAAGTGACTTGGTTTCTGTTCTGGCTAAGTTTACCACCAGGTAGACTAGTGTCAGGAAGGGTCATGTAATCCTTGAGTAGCTGGCAAAATAACTGCTTAGCATCATCCATCTGCTCTTGGTAGAATCATTTACCTTGTTTGATATAATTAAGGTCATAATTTTCATAAAGAAAGCCAAACTCCATGAATAAGTTACTACGAACTACAAGAATTTAAAAAAAAATCTCACCAAAGCTCCTTTGAAATTTGTGATGGTTTATGAAACTGGCTCTTTGTAGAACACAGGTGGTGGAGCTTATAAAGTAGATACTAGATCATCTTAGCAAGTGTGTTTTATATAGTTAGTGCATGGTATTTTAAGATTGCTTGAGTCCGTTACTACATTTAAACATCAAAGGATTTCACCTTTATAAAATATTCACATGCTCATCTTTTTAATGATGAAAAGCGGTCTGACCAAGTGGAGTTCCCTGAAAGGGAAAGCAGTGGCTGGCAGAGCTGGGCTCTGGCTATCTTCTTTGGACAGAGCTGTTTTCCAGGTCCCTAAAGCTCCTCTGAATGCTTTGCTCATTTAATATGTCCATGTAGACATTTCAGT